GGACACGCTGGTTAGTAACCGAATTTCCAGGCACTCAACAGAACGGTCTCATACGGGCGATGTTAAAGGGAGAATAATTATGACAGCGGGCCCAACTTAAGGGCAAGCTTTAAAGCATTAATTATAGTTCATGGCCTGCGAATGTCGAGCATGGCGGTGTAAGTGCGCTACAATAAATATATTACAAATGTGATAATGGCAGGCGATTGCATAATGGATTAAGCACGGCCTGCTGTTGATTCCCCTGTCGTTTGTTTGCGGCCTCTGTCGACGCTCTCATTTAAGCCTTTATCAATTCGAATCCGGAATCCGGATAAATATGCGACCGCGAGCGGTGCAAGGAGCAAAGCTCCATCACCACTGTTTGCAGTTTTACTTAATTTAAAGCGATTCATTAGCACTTTAAAGCTCTGCGACGCGCCTACGGTTTCTGATTATGGCGTGGCTTCAACGTAATTAATTAAAATGTTGATAGGCCCGGTTGTCGTTAGCAGAAGTGCCCTGTGACCTGTGGCCTGGGACCTAAGGCCAAGACAAATGCAAATGCAATGCGCGGCGAGCACGCGCCATTTGATAAATTGCGGCAATCAGAGGCTCGCCTGCCGCTTAATGCGGGGCTGAAAAGTTGCGTCGCCGCCGGCACTGGTGTTGCAGGTTGCATTTACAAATCACGTATCCGTCGCGCGAAGGCTTGCCAACTTCCTGCTAATTAATCCCAGAGCGTTATATATTAAACGGCGGCAGTCGGGCCATGGACCACGCCACGAGTCCTAATCCCGCTCACGCCGCGGCCCCATAACTTTGGAACTTGCCCCAGCTGCACGGCAGCTGCAGAGCGAGGGAAAGCAACCGGACAACTGGTCAACCGGACACCCCGTCAGTTGCCACTGAACGTGTCCGGACTGGGATCGAATCGGGGCAGAGCATTCAGCATTCAATGGACAGAAGCTCGGCGATGACAATGGAGGGAAGATCCGAAGCTCGATGAGCGCCACGTGCGTAGTGGAATAATGCGAGACAAGGCGTTTGGTGTTGAGCCGCAGAAACTTGAGAAACTATAAAGCCAAAAGGAGCTTCTCGTCCCGGCGCTTCTCGTCCCGGATTTATTTATGGTGAAGTGCGGTGTCAGTGGCAGACCTGACACAGATCCACCTTGGCCATTGTGTGGGGTCTGCCAGGCATAAATATACAGTCCACCTACGTCCTCTCAAAATTCGATCCGCCCCAAACAATAACAGTCCGGGCGAAGAATAGACAGCAAGATAAGGGGGATGGCAGCTGAAAAGTTTTATAGCCAAATGAAGATTGGCATAGCGAGATATGCACGTGATGGGAATGGAATGCCGAACATTATATCGAGCTCCTGCGGCGTGCGAAATCTTTTCCAAAACAATATATGTCATGCACATGCCGGAGTCGAACCCGTGCGGAAGTGGCACTGCCAGCTAGTAAATGGCCAATGAATCGACTGAGCTCCGGTGGCAGTGGGAGCGGAAAATAAAATGCACATTAGCCGGCCAAAGGCGCTCAACTGCCAGTGGCAGTACAGCCGGAAAAGGCAGCAGAAATGGCTGCGCCAATATGCGCACAGTGGGCCATGTGTTCAGCCAATTAGTTAACAAGAAAAACTTGTAGGTTACTAGCGTTCTTTCTGTTATATTTTCCTCAGAGTGATATAGAATGATATAGAAGCGATATCCGTAACTTGTAAAACTACCCTATTAAAGGGCTTTCCCCTCCTAGAAATGCAAGAAGGTATTCGGGAAAATCAAGGCACTACACTTTTTCGGCCCACTGTGCGCCGGGAGGAAGGAAATTGTTTTGTCGACTACGGCGCAAGAACAACAGGCCAGCGTGTGCGGGTGTTTGGTGTGTGCGCCACGAAAGAAAAGCGCAAATCGAAATAAATAAATAAAATCAAATGTTCTGCGCACAAAAAGGAAAGTTTTCAAGCTGGGCGAGCGGCAGGGTCAGTGGCTGAAATTACATCTTATGAGCGTCGGGAGGCTACGCTCGGGTACTCGGTGAGTCGAAACGTAACGGAAACGGAAACAGAGCGATAAAGTTCTGTTAGTGTAGCACACAGCAATCCACAGCGGGCCCCCGCGAGAGCGCAAAAGTGCGAAAGTGCGAGCTCTGGAGGGTCCTGAAGGGCTGAAGCCCGAGGCGGAGGGCTGCAGGCAGCCGGCTTGCCAAAGACAAAAGCCAAGCTCTGCCCGTCGGAAGCAGCGTGTAAATGTCGGCCAACACTTGGCGGTGCTTCCTGGAGAGGAAAAACCAATGAAACCGAAATCAGGCTCAACAGATAGCTCATACACCGAGCCAGGAGTCGTGGAGACCGTGGCAGTGTTCCGCCAGGCAGTCCCGACTTATAAAATTTCGAGACGAATGCGACCTTGACCAAAACTGGAAGCTGTAATGCGATTTGCTTTAATTTCCTCGCCGCGAGCGATAACTGATTGCTCCAGAGTCCTGCTGGGTGGGCAGGACAGCAAATCCAATAAGAAATCAATGGCTAACAAGCAAAGAACAAACCGAAACAAGTTTCGCTTTGGCTGAAAATCTTAATTTTCCACAAACCCACGGGACGTGACACATTTTCGATGGTCGCTGTGGACGTTGCAAACTCTTCTTAACTTTTTACAGCTCACCCACTCACTCAGATGTTGTATTCGGGTGAGTGTCTCATTTGCTGGCCATTTCTCTTCTTTGTTTGTTGTTGATTCTGAAGCCTTAAAACCAATTTCTACGGGTATTTTGGTCACACGCAACTGGGCTAATTCAATAGACTTAAGTTCCCCTGCTCCAGGCCCAAGAATCGTGTTTGCACTGAGCATTCGGGCCTAGCCCCCAAGAATTAATGACCTGGAGAAAAATATGTAATTTAAATCGTGTTTACATAATCCTTAATAGAGTTCGGTTTTTGTAATTACCTCGTATCTGTAACTGTTTCATCTAATTATAAGCAAATATAAATTTAAAAAAAAAAACAAAAATATTTGAATTGGTCTAAACGATTTCGAGAATTTCTTAGGTCAACATATGCCACTGAAGTCTGGCACCCGATAGACATTTTTCTAAAAATATATTTCCCATTTGGCATGTCCTTGGAGAGCCACAGCCCTTCAGCCCTACGAGGCAGGACCACGTCCTTAGCGAGGACTGCCAGCCGCATGCCCCAAAATGTCGCTTTGCCTAAATACACCTTTTGTCGTTTGATTTATTGCCAGCCTCCTTTCCACACACTATTTGCATGTGTTTCGCTTTTCGGCAGCCTTTGTTCCCCCGCCCCCAGGATGGGGAAATGCCCGAGTGATTTGTTTAAACAAACGCCCAGCTAGTGTGCGGTCTCATTTCTTTTCGTTTCGATTCGTTTGCTTGTCTCTACAGCTGTCAAGTTCAATCTTGGTCGAACCTGAGACTGAAACTGAAGCTGGATTGGATCCTGAATAAGCTTTTAATGCTTGTGTGCGGCGCTCCTTTGTGTTTGTCTGTTTGTCGTCCACTTGTCATGTCAGTTGGCATCATTGTCGACCCAGACAATGGCAGTCCGACCAATCTGTCCTGGCACCTCACCTCAGTTAACTTACCGGGGGTCCTCCCAAAGGGTAAGCCACTCCTCGGGCCTGGCATTTCATTTACATTTCAATGTCAGTTCGTTTCGGCACCGTCCATCCACCCCCAACATCCTTGCCCGCTGACAATCGTAATTTACCGTTACAAATCAATTGCCAACTTATGGCCGTGACGAGTCCGATGCGGAGCCTACATTATGCTGAAATATTTTACGCCCAATTTATGTTAATTTGGCTGTATTCCTCTCGTTGTTCTGGGCCCATAAAACGAACGGAGAAAATCAAAAATCGGACCGAAAGTGCCAGTGCCGTCAGCAGCCAGTCGGCGAGCATATTTTTATGGCCAGGCCTTGGTATTTATGCCCGATTTTTTTCACATTGAGCGGGCATCGTTTAGCTATCTGCCGTATGTGGGTGTATGGACTGGTTTCATCGATGTTCGTACGTGATGTGGCAAAACTTGCCGGGGTCACAAGGACAAGGCACACGGAGGGGTGTGAGTGTGCAGAAGAGGGTGCAGGAGAGGGTGGCTGGATCCGATTCTGTTAGCTAACATTTTGACAGCGTCGGCTTTAAGTTGTCAGCGCATTCTTCGGCTTTGCCGCTGCTGTTGGCCATTGTGCTTATTAACATATTGCCTGTTTGCTGTTTTCCTCGTGTCGCGCCATTGACAATTCATTTGTGTTATCACACACACACGCGCAGAAAGGGCTTAGCGCCACAACGCAAAACAGGGAAACTGTCAAAACGGTTGCAAAGTATTTGCACAGATTTCTGACGCTGATAGTAAGTGACAGACAACAGACAACGGGAGCGTAAGAGGAAACCAAACAGAAAGCTTAGCTAAAAATAAAAATCATTTTTCCCGATAACTGGCTGCAGATATGGCCAGGCCTTCCTGGCTCAATCCACAGTCACGTAGGCCACTTCGAATGCCGCTCTAAGTTATTACGAATCTCTAATATCCATCAGGTAGTATATGCACTCCGTAATGCATACGACCATTCTTGGGGGGGGTTTTGGGATGGAGATGGGGATGGGTGTATTGCATATCCCATGCTTAAGACCAAATTGCCTGGCACTTAGGCCAAGGCACTGAAAGCATGCTTTACTGCAAAGACGCCGACTCCAATGGCATTACTTCCCCATACCCACTCGCCTCATGTGGCTGCACGTTATTATTAGCATAATTACAGGCGCATTAGCGTGCCAGGTTTCAGGTGCTTGGCAATTTGCCTGCTGCCAGGACGCCTGATTATGACAGGGCCTAAGAGCACGCCGCCTGCCACAATGCACGTCCTGAAGCGCCGCTTAAACTTGCGCAAGTTTCTTAAAGGCCCCCGCATTATGCAAATTGTTCCACGGCATTCTTTTCGCTCGCCTTCATTAACATTGCATTAATTAATTTTTTATTCCGCTTCGCAGCTTTCACTTGATGTTTATGCAGCCTCCTTCGACACTAAGCACCAATCGGATTCAGTGAGCCAAAGGTCCTGACCTGCCGTCAGCAAAAGTGAGAGGAAAAAAATTTTAGGATTAGTCCACGGCTGAAGCGAAAACAAACGCCCACTTCACGCGAGCACTTCACGACTCCACAATGCGTCTGCCGCGCACAGCCCCAGTGCTCTGGCTCTGGGCCTGGCTAACCTTGGCCACCTCCGGCATCCTGGCCTATCCGAACAGCCAGCAGCAGCAGCCGCTGGTCACCTATGTGACCACCTCGACGACATCCAGCCAACGGAGCCAGTCCGCCAACCAGCCCCTGCAACCGGCGTTTGTCTATGACTCACCTCCTCCGGAAGGGGAGGAGGAGTCTAGTTCTAGGCATCCCCTGGCCCCGGCAACGTCCAATGTCCGGAACGAGGAGACTGAGCCGTCAAAGAAAGTCATCGGTTCCAGGTGAGTACATACATTGACTTACATTCATTGCGGCTTTACGGCCGGAATTGAGGAATCAGCACAGAAAAAAACGTCCACGGAAAGGATCGAAGGTCGCACAATAAACTGCAGTTTGTGATTCATAAGTTTCGAATTGGGGATTAAATGCTTGGTGGATCCCGATTAGCGCTGAGAAATCAAAAACATAAAACAAAATCTTTTATAACATCACATTGAGCCAGAACATATTGTTTTTAATCTCCAATCTTATTATTTTCCGTGTAGGAGGGTGGGTCTCTTTGTTTTTCACGTCCAATTTTACTTGCCCTTTGTTTGCTGTTTCTATCGCTTCTGCTGTTGCTGGGGAAAATCTTTTGTTTGCACAGCTTTTTGCAATTTTTGCCACTAATTGAAATAGAATTTCCTGCTTTGTTGTAGCCGCCGTTCCGATTGAGGAGCGTGGGGTGGTCAGACTGGGACTCGCCTTAGTATTTTTAATTAATTTGCTGTGCGGCCGCAAAGCGTCCTGGAGTGGGCAGGAAAGCGCTGCATACTTTGTGGCACGCGTTTGGAATCCCATTGAGTTGGCGAAGTTGGGTGGTAGGGTAGGGGGTAGGTGAAGGTGGGCTGTAAACGAGGGCTGTAAGCGAAAGCCAGACAACAACGACTAAATTGAGTCCTCATTAACTTCAAATCAATGCTAATCAATTGGGTTTATGTGGGCGTGACGCTTTTGAAGTGAACCCTAAACGGTTTATACCCTAATCCGTTCAAAAAGAAGAGCCAGAACAACATCGAAACCAAGGGCTGGCATATTTTTGTTTTTGGATCCCTTTCTGGCATTCCACTGGCCAGGAGACATCTGTTCCGCCACAGTTTCATATTAATTCCGCGCATAAACAAATTCACGGCCAGCGGCGTATTGCGTCAGCTGTTCGTTCTCTTCTCCCTTGCCCAACGTTGGTAATGACTGCGAGCTGTTGCCTGTGATGGTGATAACGATGATAGCGACGATGATTCGCAGCTTGATGATGGCATTTCGGAACTGCAGCCAGGCGCATCTGCAATATTTACATGCATTTTTGATTGTGCTGCATTCCCCTCTGGATTCCAATTAAAACCAATCTGTGCGTCCGACATTCTTTGGGTCCTTTTCGAAAAACCTCACTTTGCCAGCATCGCTTACCTACAAATTAAACTGGAAATAAGTTAATAAATCATTTATGTTCGCCTCAAAGGTCCAATCGGACTAAGCTGCAAATCGACGAGAGCCATTGGAAAATTCACACAAATTTTACCGAATATTTTCATCCTATCCCATTGCAACACATTTCTGTAATTCTCGCATGAAGGGATTTGCATCCACCGCGCTGATGATTTTGACGAGGCATCAGTCCCGCTTTATGGCATATGGCATACGGATATATGTCCGTATATCGTATGTGTGTGGCAGCTGCATATGACTAAGCACGCTCCGACTCACGTGCTTAAATGTTAATGATGTGCTCATGCCACACGCGGAATTACTTGCATACTCATACACACAGACGCCGACTAACATATGTAAGCCTTAGTGTGCCGAGATATTCCCACTAAGCGCTGCACAAATGCAGATAGAGGACACAGAGGCAGTTGCGTGAGGTGATGGTGGAGCGGGGGAGGATTGGTTGCTAACTGCGTGACTTTCTCCAACCATTGCATAGTTGTCAATTTCCATTAAAATGACAGCGACGCTCCTCCCAGAATGCTACATGACTTGCGTTGTCAGAGGGCCAAGCTGAATATTTTAGTAAGGCTTTATAGAAAACAGTTATTACTGTCGCCCCACAATTTCCGCCAAATTTAAAATCTGCTTCGATTTATATATTCGTGGTCATGATCACTCACCGAGTCAATCTCGAAAACTAGAAAAAAGTACGAAATGGGAAAATTTTAAAAAAACAAGAGAGCACGCTATAGTCGGGTTGGTGTCCCGACTGTCTAATACCCGTCACTCAGCTAAAGGGAGTGCGAACGCTGTAATCGGGTTGGTGTCCCGACTAACTAAAGGGAGTGCGAGGGAGATAGATATATAAACAATTTTGATTGCGTTAGGTATAGGTTTAGATAGGTATAAATATACACATCAAAATTGCATTTATACTTCCGGAAATCTTTAAAGATGTGGGCGCAGGTCACATTTTAAAATCGTTATTGGGCGATTGTGGGTGTTAGAGGGGGCGTGGCACTTACTTGAAATAAACTTGCGCTGCGTAGGAAGCCCAAGAATATGTGTGGAAAATCTCATCCTTCTAGCTTTTGTAGTTTCCAAGATCTCAGCGTTTATACGGACGGACAGACAGTCGGACATGGCTAGATCGACTCGGCTAGTGATCCTCATCAAGAATATATATACTTTATGTGGTCGGAAACGCTTCCTTCTTGCTGTTACATACTTTTGCACGAATACAATATACCCTTTTACTCTACGAGTAAATAAAAAAAAATTATTTTTTTTGTGGTGGCAATGGTTAAAAAATTTTTTTAAATCTTAATTTGTTTTTATTTTTAGGAAATTAAAAACTTTTTTGTTTTTAAACTTTTTATTTTGAAAGAAGAGGCTTTAGAGGAATTTATGCAAAAGACATGAAGTCAATCGGATTCATATAACCGGAGATACAGATTTTCAATGAGAGGGTACTTTTTAAAATTTGACGATTTTTGGCAAACTTAAAAAAATTCTAACTAAAAATATAATTTTTTTTCGGTCAAATCCTGATACACGTGTTTACTTATTTTCCGAATAGTAAGTGTAAAAAAAGTTTCAGGCAAATCAAAAATGTGACCCAATAAAAGGTGTTCGGTTTGTAAAAGAACCGCCCATATACAGGAAGAAATGAAAATCTGCTGTGATGGTTCGATCATAATGAGTGATACACCAATCGAAAGGTATTGCAAAAACTAACAGGGTTGCATACCAAGACTTTAAGAAAATCGATTGGCTTGGGAGAGAGAGCGGAGAAAGTAAAACAGTGAAAATTTCGAACCCGCTATAAATGGCTAAATTTCGTAAGCCCATAACTAGCGAAATCCTGAATCATATTAAAGGTATTTTTAAGTAGCTATTTTTTGTCCATCTTGAGACACGTTATCATATTTCTATTTTTATTGTTGAATGCGGTTAGCACCAAGCTTTAAAATGTCACATTCCCCTATTTTTTTAATTACCTTGGTGATTTATAAAAAAATAAAATGTAAAACCAATATACTGAGGCAATTTCGCCACACAGGGGGGTAAAATCACCACACCACCGGGGCAATTTCGTCACCTGAAAAATGTAGGGAGTTTAACGCCTGTAAATATGCTACACTGATCAAGCGTACCATTTTTGTTGACGTCCTATATTTGTTGCTGCTGCTGGTAGTCTGTTCGTTAGCCAGCTCGTCAAATATAAAAATATGTATTTAAAATAGGTGCGACTTTACCCTTAGCGTAGGGTGGCGAAATTTCCCCAGACAGTACTTTTTTAGAAATAATTATTTTTCTTCCGAAATTAGGCGCGAAGTTAAAAATCACTGACGCAGAAATGCACATTATAGCACTGTGTATTATATAAAAAATCGTGTATCTTATTCCTTTTGAATTGTGGCATACAGAAAAAATTTCGTCGAGAACTAAATGTAGCTTTTGAACTGTTAAAACACATTTAATATTATAGCTTAATTATCTTGGCCTTCTGTGCAAAACAAATGCATTGGTTATGTCTGGCCGTCTTGAAGGACTAAAACAAAAAAATTATAAATTTTTACGACTTATGGATTCCGAGATATTGCAGGTGACGAAATTGCCCCTGTGACGAAATTCCCCCACTCTCCCCTACAATAATGCCTTCCTAACACTATTTATGTATATGCAATAGTTAAAAACTTATGCACAAAACCATTTTTTTTTAAACTTTATTTTTAGCTTTTTTAATTTCTTTCAAAAACGGCTCTAACGATTTTGTTTAAAACTTTAAACTATATAGCCCTTCAGATTCCTGGTATATAGCACATTATTGTAAAAACTCACGTTTAAAAGTTATTAAGAGACGAAAATAGCCACCTTGGCCAGCTCAGAACAACTAACGCTTCCTGAGCATTGAATTTTGTGCGTGGGTGTCCAAACTGTATTTTAGGGTAATGGAATCAATTAATTTGCATTTAACAGTTCCATATAGGAATCTTTTGTTCTACGACTTTTGGATTTAATTTTCTACAACCTCCCCTTTAAAAATAATTTATTTAAAATAAAATAAAAACAAGAAAGAAAGCTAGCTTCGGCCAGCCGAAGCTTATATACCCTTGCAGATCGTTCCTATTAACTTACAAATCGCAAACATTTTTCGATCGTTCCTATGGCAGCTATATGATATAGTCGTCCGATTTTGATAAAATGAAAATTGAAATTCGGAAATATTTAAAAAGAGTCATGTCCTAAAGTAGAAGAGAATACAATAAAAACCAAAAAAGCTAAAATTTATTCCTGTGTAACTTTTCCATTAATTTTCCGATCGTTCCTATGGCAGCTATATGATATAGTCGTCCGATTTTTAAAATATTTTATTCGAAATTCTGAAATATTTAAAAAATAATATTTCCAAGAGAAGAAAGTTTTATTTCAAAAAACACCAAAGCTAGAATTTTTTTAACGTTTCCTTCCTATGGGAGCTATAAGATATAGTTATCCGATCCGGTTGGTTCCGACTTATATACTACCTGCAATAGAAAGAAGACTTTTGGGAAAGTTTCATCGCGATAGCTTCAAAACTGAGAGACTAGTTTGCGTAGAAACGGACGGACAGACGGGCAGACGGACGGACAGACGGACAGACGGACAGACGGACATGGCTGGATCGACTCGTCTAGTGATGCTGATCAAGAATATATATACTTTATGGGGTCGGAAACGTCTGCTTCACTGCGTTGCAAACTTCTGACTGAAATCATAATACCCTCTGCAAGGGTATAAAAACGGTTTTAAAGCCAATTTAAAAATACCGAAAGAATGCCAAAAAATTACTTTTTTTTGTCCAAATAACAGGTTTTGTCCTGGAAAATTATCCTCAAATTACTTAGCTTAGTTGAGGATCCATCTAACTAGAATCAAATATCAAATATTTGGCTTGGTTGACATACCCAGAGAATTGTCCATATCAAAGGGATGCGGTGTAGTTGTGTTGTAGGGTTTAGAAGTACAAATTGACTGGAAAAATACGCAAATAAGTGGAAAATCCCTGGATAAGAAATGGATAGATGCATAGCTACTGAGATCTTTAAATAGGGTATTTTTAGACCATTTAGACTCTAAAAATAAATATAAACTGTTTTTGTCGTTACTAAAAATCTTGTACGTCTTATTTCCTCTTCCTTAGTGGAACCCCACCGGTGTCCGTAGTTCTCGATGGAAATGAGCCGCAGTTCACGGATGCTCTGGGCCACAAGGTGCCCAAACCACAGCCGTCCTTGCAAGTGGCCAGTCCAATCGTTCTTCTTAACCCAGACCGCTACGAATTCTACACATTCGACGAGCACGGCGAGCTCGTCAAGCGGTTGATGACCATGGAAGAGATTCAGAGCATTGTGGCCAACGGAGACGGGGAGGGGCCATCAATCATCCATCCGGCCCCGCTAACTGATAGCAATCCCGACAAGAATGTTCAAGATATTGTAAACAGCGTGCAAAGCGTGCTGAACCAGGAGGTGGCTTCTAGCTCAGCAAAGAATAGCTCCGGGGAGCTGCTTCCCCCCCTGCTTGATACCCCCGACGTCTCATCGTCATGGTCTCTCATCCTGCCTGCCATTTTCGGAAACACGGGTGGAGATATTTTTCCACAACAGCGTCCGCAGCAAATTGTTATGACCCCCGAGTCGGAGCTGCTCGAGACGTCCACCAGAGCGCCATCACCGACTACGGTAGCTACAAAAAAAACCAAGCCCGCTAAACGCAAGCCGGGGACCAAGCGAAAGCCCGTCTCTACTACCAGCACCACACAGGTGACACCTCAAGTAGTGCAGGAGGAGCTGGATCCCATGGACTCCGTGTACACAGGCATTCAGCAATACCAGCAGGTGGCCGCGAATATGCCACAGTTTGAGCTCCTTCACATGCAGCCCATTTACCAGAAGCAACCTATCCCAACGGGGCAGCCGGAAACAACCACGCGAAGAGTATTCTACAACAACCAAGAAATAATTCACACGCCCACCTCCTCGAGCAGCGCCCCCTCTAGCACTGAGATCGTTTTTACCCACCATCTGGCCAAGAAGCCGGCCAATGTTCAGCGCAAGCCGACACAGCCCCAACGCGTGAAGAAGCCCAACGGTGGTTCTACCTCCGAAACTACATCCCAGGCTACTGGCGGTAAGCAGAAGGTCAAAAAGAAGACAACTACCACAACAACAACGACAACAACTACACCAGCCCCACAGCCCGAAACAGAGCCACCCACCGAGGAGGAGCCATCACCAATAGAAAGCGCGACTACAACCACCCAAGCACCTCCCTTAACAACACAGAAAAAGAAGAAACGTAAGCCCACACGAACACCAGGTACTGGATCTTCTGGTGGCAACTCAAAGCCATCAAAGCCAAAGCGAAAGCCCACGCCTTTACCACAGCAGCAGGTTGCCGGAACTCAAAAGCCGTCCAGACCACAGAGACCTCACAAGAAACCCAAGCCTACAGCTCCTACAACTTCCACTACGTCGACCACGACGCCATCGCCTGAAGTGACCACTACAACTACGACATCCGGACCATTGACCACCTCTCCAGAAGCCCCAATCACAGAGCCACCGGAGGAGAGTCCAGTAACCACCACTCCAGAACCAGAGCCCCAAACAACAATCTCCACAACAACGACAACATCAGAGGCTCCCACAACCACATCCACAGAGGCACCTACAACAACAACAGAGGCTATAATAACAACAACAACTTCTACCACAACAACAACAGTTGCTCCTCTAAAGACCACAGCAATACCACCTGCCCTGCACCACCAGAAACTGCACAACAAGCCCGTCAGCCGTCCATCAACTCTGCACCACAACCGAGTCCACGCGAAACCAGTGCACATCCCCACGACTGAATCGAGTAAGGTGGCTGGGGAGCCACAAGCTTCCGAAAGCTACGGATTGGTTAATGTAATTCCCTTCTTGAGCACCACACACAAACCATTATATCCGCTGCCTAGCTACGATGCGGACGCCTCTTCAAATGTGACTACTACATTAACTGACACTCCGGCTCCTCACTCGCCCCAAAAGAAGACCCCACTGCCTTCGCTGGCGCAACTGCAGCAGCAGTTGCATCTCGGCTCACCATCACCGGCGCCACAGCTCTCGCCCGCTCAGATCCTCTCAATGGACCAAATAGTGCAGTCGCTTACCCAGGACCTCTCATCCACAGATAAAGCGGAAGAAGACTCCGCTGCCAGTCCCGTAAGATACGACAGTGCGGAAAGCAAACTGCAGATTGAAGCCCTGGCCAGCAAGAAGAAAGTAGCAGTCATCGCCAGCACCAGCCCTGCACCAACCACAACCACTACAACTAGAAAATCAACTACCTCCTCCAAACCCACCTCAATTTTGACCAGCAACAAGCCACTTAATGCCCATTATGGTGGCAGCACTTTGGCCACAATGCTCTCGGAGGAGGGGGAGGATGTTACCGACTCCATGGAATCTCTTAAAGTCCACCAGCAACCAGCAGAGACCACGCTCAGCAGCCTCGAGGACGATGACGAAGAGCAAACACCCGTTGTGCTAATCACCGCTAGACCACAGTACTTTACGGTAACAAGGCAGCCGGAACCACTGCAGCCAATAAAGACCGATTCGACCGATGAGGAGCCGGAGACCACCGAGTTGCCTGGACAAACACAGTTTCTGGTAACAACGCCGATGTCACCGCTGGAAGAGCTGGAAGCTACCACGAATAAGCCTGAAGTCGAATCAATCTATGTAAATATACCTGAGGAAAACGAACCTAAGCCCGCCGGCGGTTATATTCCAAATTCCGTTGAAATTGGGGAGGGGGTGAATGCAGTTGTGGCCACCACAGAACAGACACTAAGACTTCCAGTCTCCGAGAGCAGCACAGTCGCCGATTTCGACAGTACCGAAGTTACCCCCATGATCGCTGACCTGGTGCACCAACTCAATATGGAAATGCTTAGGCCCACGGACCGAATATCCATGGCGAACTTCCAGACACAGGCAGCTACTGTTGCCTCCACACTAGTGGATGGCAGCAACACGCTCGTCTCGGATGTCCCTATAAACTCAAACGAGACAAAGGATGAGATCGAATTCCTTATGTCCGATGTTATACAGCAGATAACTCAGGGAGATCAGAGCCATCCTCCACAGAAGGCGAAGCCGATAGACGATTCAAACCGCCTGACCAATTTCGCACAACTGAATACCTCTTTCTTGCTTCACCCAAAGCCAGAAAAATCGGAGGAGACCACGGAGTCTCAAGAACCATACAAACTAGAAGCGACGCAAAGTACATCTACTGCAGCTTTTATCAAGGAGGAATCAACTTTTCCTGCAAATTCCATCCATGTAGAGACGAGCACGCATCGGATTCCAATTCTATCGCTCTCCCAGATTTATGCGCAGCAACAGCAAGATGAAGATGAGGAACAGCAAGGTTTTGCAAATGAACGACTCGAAGTTCATCCAACTTCAGAGCCCTTAAGGCACGAAACGGAAACTGTCCCCAATCCGGAGAATGCATCCACTGCAGCACCCACAGTAGATACCACCGAGGCTGATACCGTTGGGGCTGTCATCACCACTGAGCGTCAGCAGGCCCAAGAACCCAGCCAGGAGGAGACGACTTCCAGTGAAGAGGGTTCCGGCAGCAAGGAATCAACAACCGGTTTCAGCGAAAGTTACACTCATGCCGAAAGCGAAGAGGAAACGCTTGAGCTGTTAACAAATAGTTACAATGAGCAGCAGCAGACAGAAAAAGAGCACGAGCCCGTATTCACCACGACGGAGGAGTCAGCATCTACCACGCACATGTCTATGGTGGAAGAGACAACATTGGCGACGAACGTTTTTCAAGACGGACAGGGAGAAGATCAATTGTTAACAACGGTGAAAGAAGAATATCCAGAACAGCACCCACAAGGAACCCATGCGGCGGTTTTGGGGGACAGCGTCACCAACGCAGCCCAACTACTGCCCCAGTATCAGGCGCCCACCAGCGAAGAGCATGAGGAAGATGAAGTGAGGGTCACGGAAATACCCGGTGACATGTCCTTGGCTTCTTCCGATTCAGACATGTCCCTGAGCTCCGAACAGGTGACTGAGAAAATCGAAGTGAGCACAGTAAAGTCACAGGAATTGGACGACGAATCTTTGGAGGAAATTTCCGACGAGCTGACAGCTACCGTGTCCGAGGAACAGGACGCTGCGGATGACGAGGCGGTTACAAGTGCTCAAAAAATTCAGCCGGACGATGAGGATCCCTACGTGAAGCTGGGCGAAACGACGGCGAGTCTGGTGAGACCGCTTAAACCCAACAAAGAAGAGGTCAATGAGGATAAGAGCGTAACTGAACCTGATGAGGAGAACCACAAGGTTACATTGCCTTTGGCTAGCTACGGACAGGCGCCAGTAGATCAGGCCGATGAAGAAGACGAGGAGGATCAAGTAATTTACCATCTACCTCTCTCTCTGCCCAGCAGTACAACAACAAGTATTACTACAACTTCTACAACTACTACTAAAAAGCCCACTACGGAAACCCCAACTTCGACCACTACGTCTACGACCCCACCCACAACAAAGCGAATGAACACTTTGAAGCCAGTTTCCTACTATGTTCAGCCCTCGCTTCTGGGTGGATATAATCAACTGGACTTGCAGCCGCCAAAGGTGCTGCCCTACAATGCTAATGCTAACAAGGTGGATACAGCCCTGCCACCGGCTCTATCCCATAGCCCATTTCAAAACACGTTGAACCAGCAGCGACCAACCCAACGACCTCTCTTGCTGACCAATCTTATGGCCAGCTCCACGCAATCGACAAGACCACCAGTAAAACTAGAACCTAGTCCAGAATCTTCGCAGGGGCTTGAAGCCTCCACAGCGCTAATGGACGAGGATCTGCAATCTTTTGCCCGGCTCTGCAACGAGCTGGCTTTCAGCTACTGGCGTGCCATTACCTCAGAAAAGATCAGTTCGGCCAGAAGTCTGGTCATATCCCCGTTCGCTCTGACTTCCATGCTTTCGATGGTCTTCCTAGGCGCGCGCGGAAGCACGTCCGGGGAGATGAACGAGATTCTGAAGCTGGACGACATGGTTACCTTTAACCCACATCTAATCTTCAAGAATATAACCAACTCAGTGGAGCAGGCTACGGACAGCGATATCGCGACAGCTGCCTTTGTACGCGAGATCTTTAGCGACCGTGCCAACGGGAAAATACTGCCCTTCTTTAAAGAGAAAACCCAACAGCTGTACGCCGGTCACGTCGAGGAGGTGAACTTCCATGTGGTCAACGATATCGTGCGACGCCGCACGAACCTGTTGGTGAAGCGGCACACGATGGGGAAGGTTCTTGAGTACCTGCGTACCAACAGTGTTTGGGTGAATGGCCCATTGGCAACGATCTCGGCCAATCTCTTTCAGACGGACTGCTCGCACGGCTCCACTGCAGATCGTGATGGGGAGATGTTTTTCCAAGTGCATCCCACAGTGCGCCAGCGCCGGCTCGTGCCCATTCCGGCCGTGCTTTACCGTTCCGGCTTCTTGGCGGGCTACGAGCCTCAGCTGGACGCCACCGTTGTGTCCTTCGGTCGAGTCCAAGACACGGTTAGCACGGTATACGTGATGCCCGGCCACCAGAGCTCCATTTCGCCGATGGACAATCTGGAGCGCTTGGAGCGCAGTCTGGTGGAAAGGGCTTTCGGGGATTCGCGGGCCTGGAGCCGGCTGCTTACCTCTCTAATGGATCGGCCAGGCATGGAGGTGCAACTGCCTCGATTTTCACACCGCTCGTTTGTTAACGCATCGCTGGGTCTGCAGAAGATGGGCCTGCGCGGCCTCTTCCAGTCGGACCTGGCTGACCTACGGGGTCTAACTGGCGCCGGAAACCGCGACATCTTCCTTTCCGACATGATCCAGATAAACACGTTCAGCACATGCGGCGAAGAGAAGATCTCCGAGCATCACCACGTAGAAATGTACCCGGCACCCCCTCTGCGAAAGCGGAACAAGGATGTGGACGCTACTGATGATGATGCCTTCGACTCCTCGGAGGCAGTCGTGGATTTCGGCTCGCTAGTGCAGGAATCGGCGCTAGGACGGGGCTTCTACGACGACCTGCTGGACCCGAAGTACCTGGAGCTGCCGCTGCCACTCCGTCCACGGCAAGCTCGCGTCCCAGATGCACCACGGCTGCGGTTCGACAAGCCCTTCCTGTACTTCGTGCGCCACAACCCCACTGGCATGATTCTGTTCATGGGACGATTCAACCCGCGCCTGCTGCCGTGAAGAGGACGCAGCACCAGCAACTGAGGGTCGTTTTCTTGTTAATTCTTGGAATGTGACTTAGTGAATTTATATCGTACTTGTAATAATAACTTTATTCTTAATTAACGCTGCTTGCTGTGCCTTAATCTCGCGTCCCGCATCCCTTGGTCCCAATCCCTTGGATTGGTCCGATACGAGATTGATGCGCAGCAAACGATTGCATGTGCCAGTGGCATCTGCAATTATTCTTTGCGCGTTTAAAAACGAAATCAAATATCTTAAATGCTTATATGCAGTTTGTGTAAATGTATATCCAATTTTTCTGGCTTTCATTTTATTGGCCGCGTACAACACGAATGCGGCATGGTATATGGAAATGCATTTTTTACTTCGCTCGTTGTTCGCTGAAAAATTGACCGTTTGGCAAACAAATGTTGAACAAATATGTAGGCGGCGAATGCGAATGCAATCGAAAATTAAATGCAAATGCAATCATGGAATGCGTCAATGTTTTGGCAACTGAACAAATGTAATTTAGTAAAATAAACTTTACGAATACGCAAACTAAAAGTTATGTATGCTATTATTTAAGCTAAAAAAAAATCTAAATAAATAAATATAAATACATACCACGAAAATATTTCACCTCTTAATTTCATCTTGCTCAAAGCTTTTTAAGAAAAGTGAAAATCCGATGCACCCATACAATTTTCGCGGTAGCTAAGAGCACAAAAAACCGATGTACGATACTTCGAATTATGTGGCCTACACCCAAAAAAAAACCAAAATTTTACATTTAATGAGCATTGTAAAAAAATATTAAATCAAAACTAATTAATTTCAACTGTATACATTGTAGTGTAAGTGCTATACCAAAGAGTATACACTGGTCGGCATAATTATTTTGACAGATTTTAAAGTTAAATCTTCTCATATTCTGAACTTATAATAGAAACATTTTGGCACCTATAGAAATAGCACTTCAATTCCGTTAAAATAACACAACAATGTTCTTAACCCATTAAGCACCCTTTAAAAAGTTACAAAATTAGAAAATTTATGGTGAAGGTCAAATTTTAAACTTTTTTCCTGATTATTTGAAAATAGCTAAAAATGACAATTTTAGCCGCTTTTTCCACCTTTTCATACAAAATTTTACTGAGATCGTTTCATTCAAAAAATTATACAAAATACAAGGAAAAATATTTTGAAATATTTTTTTTTCAGTTATTATGAATTTTGATTGGGGAAAAACTTTGCATCAAAACATTTTTGTTTTAAGCCCCAGGAAAAAAGTTAAAAATTTGACTTTCACAAAATTTGCTCACTTTTCAAAGGGGTCTTAATGGGTTGAGAACATTTTTATGTCATTGAAACGGAATTGAAGTGCTCTTTCTATAGGTGCCAAAAAAGTTTAAAATGTGAGTACAGTTAACATTCAAATCTGTCAAAATAATTATGCCGACTAGTGTACGGCATAAACCAGTAGTGTAGTTTGTAAACTAATTATATTCCACTATTTCATTTATTATTTACACTTGTGGTTTAAAAAAAATTTATGTGGTATAAAGAAAATGTTGTTTCAACGTACTACAAATAGTATCATGCCTACATGCCTGATGAAATAATCGAAGAACGCTATTTTTTGCGCTTTACAGCACAATTCTGTGCGTTAACAGCACTCTGTAATTGTTTCTCGTTCAGATAAATTAAAGCAGACGAAAAAGCGGATTTGCTTTTACGAACAGTTTAGCTGGTCTTTAAGTTTTTCGAACAGATACACCCAAAAAACAAGAGAGAACGCTATAGTCGGGTTGTTGTCCCGACTATCTAATACCTGTCACTCGGCTAAAGGGAGTGCAAGGGAGATGGATATATACCATTTTTTCGATTGCGTATAACTTTTTATTGAATGGTCCGATTTGATACATTTCGATAGGTATAGGTATAAGCAACAAAATGGCATTTATACTTCTCGGAAATCTTTAAAGGTGTGGGCGCCAGACAAAGGGCATAGGGGAACAAGCCTGGGAAAACTGCCCCAGGCGATATTGCAAAATTTTAGATGAGGATTGGTAGATAGGAACCTAATGGATAAGAATTCCAATTTTCAAATATTTTGATCCGCTGGTCTACGTGTAATCTGCCGCAACTAAAGAACATATCACTTGATGTATCTTCCCTTCGGTGGTTCTTGAGAAAACTTTTTTGATGCCAATAATTTTTGTGTTAACCTTCAAAAATGTCAGCCAATCTTTGGATTTTTACCATTCTTATAATCTAACAAAAATCGCGATTCAAATTTTCAAAAAATTGGTTCAAGACTTTCCAAGTCTGACAACACCGCCAATTTTTTACAGTTTGTGTGTCCTATAACCATCTACTTCATATAAAATATTCATAATTTTTCGAGTGGTGCAACAGTGTTAAACAAACAAAAAACTGAAGAATTTATTTCTGGAAGGGTAGGAATAGAGTCAATAAAATATATTTGTCTTGTAAATAGTTAGTTCTAAGACCAGAATTATTATCAAAGAGTAAAGTTTTTAATATTATGGGTGAAAAGTGGTCCGAATTATAAAATGTTTGGCATGTATTTGCTTGTAATTGATTTAATAGGGACCCAGTCCCAGTCTAGTCCCCACAGCTTCGAATTTCATATCCTCCCTGGACAGAGATTTCATAAGAAATCCTTTGAGCATGGATGACCAACAAATACTTTATTTATGTGATTCTAAAGAAATAGCGGTCCAAAGAGGATTATGTAATATTCGATCCTTTCGGCACCGTTGTTATTGCGCGAATTTGTTAACAATTTGTTATCATGCTCCGCATATTAAAGCTTTCAAATTACTATCTTGCTTTTTAGAATAACGATGGTATCGAAAGGATCGCAAATTAAATAATCCTCTTTGGACCGCGAATTCTTTAGAATCACATAAATAAAGTATTTGTTGGTCATCCATGCTCAAAGGATTTCTTATGAAATCTCTGTCCAGGGAGAATATGAAATTCGAAGCTGTGGGGACTAGACTGGGACTGGGTCCCTATTAAATCAATTACAAGCAAATACATGCCAAACATTTTATAATTCGGACCACTTTTCACCCATAATATTAAAAACTTTACTCTTTGATAATAATTCTGGTCTTAGAACTAACTATTTACAAGACAAATATATTTTATTGACTCTATTCCTACCCTTCCAGAAATAAATTCTTCAGTTTTTTGTTTGTTTAACACTGTTGCACCACTCGAAAAATTATGAATTTTTTATATGAAGTAGATGGTTATAGGACACACAAACTGTAAAAAATTGGCGGTGTTGTCAGACTTGGAAAGTCTTGAACCAATTTTTTGAAAATTTGAATCGCGATTTTTGTTAGCTTATAAGAATGGTAAAAATCCAAAGATTGGCTGACATTTTTGAGGGTTAACACAAAACTTATTGGCATCAAAAAAGTTTTCTCAAGAACCACCGAAGGTAAGATACATCAAGTGATATGTTCTTTAGTTGCGGCAGATTACACGTAAACCAGCGGATCAAAATATTTGAAAATTGGAATTCTTATCCATTAGGTTCCTATCTACCACTTCTCATCTAAAATTTTGCAATATCGCCTGGGGCAGTTTTCCCAGGCTTGTTCCCCTATGCCCTTTTAAAATTGTTAGTGGGCGATTGTGGGCGTTAGAAGGGGCGTGGCGCTCGGCTGAAATAAACTTGCGCTGCGCAGGAAGCCCAATAATATGTGTGCAAAATCTCAACCTTCTAGCTTTTGTAGTTTCCGAGATCTTAGCGTTCATACGGACGGACAGACGGACATGTCTATATCGACTCGGCTAGTGACCCTAATCAAGAATATATATACTTTATAGGGTCGGAAACGCCTACTTCTCCCTGTTACAAACTTTTGCACGAATACAATATACCATTTTACTCTATGAGTAACGGGTATATATAAATATATTTAGTATCAAATCGATTTTTCTAAAAATGCGGTAAACTTTTGACACTCATTTGGGGGCAAATTGACCCCAAAAATTTTATCCAAGGGGCAGTGACATTTTGAACCACAAGTATTAATTTGATACTCAGGTTTTTTTTTTTTTGGGTGTAGCTATTAGGGACTTTCAATTTAGCAAAACTGTCGCAAAATTGCGTTCTGCTAATCTTATTGAAGAAGAATACAATAAATAGCATAAGAAAATAGTTAAACATGAAAGGAAGCTAGCTTCGGCCAGCCGAAGCTTATATACCCTTGCAGGTAAAGTAAATACCTATAGTTATGCTCGGTGCAGTTCCAGGGATTCCAGATTCAGCGTGCCTATTTAAATTTTGTTTTTAAGTTATCAAAAATCAAAACGCCTATAGGCGTTTTTAGTTTTAAAAAGTTATATGTGTTATGGATCGTGTTAACTTTACATTTAAGTTGAACTTATCCACTCGCGCGTAACATGGTGCGATGGATCAATGAATAAGGCATCTACCTCTGACGCGAGAGGACCCCGGTTCGAAAACCGTCTGAGGCAGAGTAAGTAAAAAGTTTTTAAGAAGCGTATTTAACATTTCCTTAACATTTATAAGAACAATATTGTATTAAAAAAGTTGTAAGAATTACTAATTACAAAAAAAAAAAAAATAAGTTGTGGTGTCAGCGGGACTTGAACCTGGTACCCCCGAGCACAAAATAGTATCAGAAGCTAGCCCTTGACCCCTGAGCCATGGCCATATTATTTCCTATCGAGGCAGAATGCTCTTTTAAGTTCACAGTAATATTTTTGATTGTAAGACAATAAATAACTGCATTTCAAAATTAAAGTAAATACTTTAGGCGCCCACTCGAAAAAAAAAAAACAAATTTGTAAATTATTTTTACAAGATTCTGGGTAAAAAAAATAGTCAAATCGAATACAAAAATCTTTGAATTTACTATAAAAATATTTAAAACATTTTTAACTATGCGCCATATACGATTTTACTATTTTCATGTTAGGATCTATTTCGCTGGGAAAAATAATTGAAACAATGGTAAAATAGTGACATTTACCATTTTTTTTTACCAGTGTAGTTCCTACAAAGTTACAATGAATTTTCTTATATTTGTTTGAATATTCCTATGGGAGCCTTAAGATATAGTGGTCCGATCCGGCTCGCTCCGACA